CGCTTTTAAAAGAAGAAGGCATAATCTGTGAAATACGCAATGGACCGCGGGTTCGATAATAGAAAAGCGTAGGGGCTCTTTAGCAAAAATACAGGGACAACGGGTTATATACTTAAAAACTTGGAGGACTCCTTAGCAAATGTGCCAAGCCAAAAGGGTAACTTCTAATCTGAGCCGTTGAGCATGGATCAGGCGGTTGAGATTAGATGGGAGGGAGAGAATGAAGGTACGGCCGGCTGGAACAGAACTCCAGACGACGACGGCCATTAACGACGACGAGGAGCTTGCCGGCATGCACAGGAAAGCGCCTACGGGCCATGTTACGACACGGGAAAGGCACCGGGAGAGTGAGTGGAGCACGGTGAACTCACCTAGGAGGTTATCGTTTACAATGAGGCACTGAAGGAGCACGGGACACGGTGGAGCAGATGGCGACGGCGGCGCTAGGGTTCCACGGCAGCGGCGTGGCTTGAGGCGAGGCGACAGCTTGTGATAAGGGTTGGGAACGGGGCGGCGCGAGCTCGGCTACTATTTAAGGGGCGGGTGGCATGGAGAACATGGCAAACGGTAAGGGGGGGGCAGCGACAAACTCTCAGCTCCACGGTTTGCTCGAAAGAGTTGGAGCCGAGCACGACGCGAGGTTGAAAGCTCTATTTTGGTTTAGGTGAATTGATGAAACCCTAAGTGCTAACCTAATTTATCAAGTGATCATGAAATAGATAGCACATTCCAAGTGGTGAAGCAAATGAAGATCATGACATGATGATGGTGAGGGCATGGTGATGATCAAGTGCTTGGACTTGAAAAGAAGAAAGAGAAAAACAAAATGCTCAAGACAAAGGTATAAGTGGTAGGAGCCATTTTGTTTCGGTGGTCAAGATACTTAGCGAGTGTGATCATATTTAGGTTCGATAGCTGTACTATTAAGAGGGGTGAAACTCATAACGAAATACGGTTATCAAAGTGCCACTAGATGCTCTAACTCATTGCATATGCATTTAGGATCTAGTGGAGTGCTAACACCCTTGAAAATGTTTGTGAAAATATACTAATACATGTGCACAAGGTGATACACTTGGTGGTTGGCACATTTGAGCAAGGGTAAGTAACTTCACTGGTGGAGTGTCTACCCGTAGAGTACGGACAGTCCGACGGTACCATCGGCGCCCTGTATAGAAAAGATAGGATTTCACAATATGCATCGGACGCTGGTCACACAGTGACCGAACGCTGGGTCCTACGTCCGGTCGGTGGAAGCAGTAAAGACGTTGGCGTCGGTCTTTGACCGGGCGCTGGGTCAGTTCGTGATCGGATGCTGGCTGGGTGCATCCGGTCCCACTGATGTGGCAGCACAGAGGAGACGTTGAGTGACTGGACGCTGGGTGAGTCCGGTCGGGCATGACCGGACGCGTCCGGTCGTGATTTTTCACGTTTGGAACCTTACTAGAAATGACCGGATGCTGGTGTTGGTGCGTCCGGTCACTTCAAGTAGCGTGTCTGGTCATCACTTGACCGTTGGGATCGAGCACTCAGTATTTGAAGAGAGGGATGATGTGGCAGCCATCCGTTGACTGGACGCTGGGGTCCTGCGTCCGGTCAATATGACCGGAGCGTCCGATCACCCCGAGTTGTGCCCAGTGAATGGGTACAACGGCTCTATTTCATGGGGGCTTCTATTTAAGCCCCATGGCAAGCTCTAGCTCATACTCTTGACCATTTGCATGGACATAGCAACCTTGTGAGCTTAGCCAAAGCCCTCCCACTCATTTCCATCATTGATTCATCATCTTTGTGAGATTGAGAGAGAATCCAAGTGCATTGCATGAGTGTTTGCATCTAGAGGCACTTGGTGTTCGTGTTTTGCTGCGGGATTCGCTTGTTAATCTTGGTGGTTGCCGCCACCTAGACGGCTTGGAGCAGCGAGGATCGTCGAGCGGAGGTTGGTGATTGTCTCCGGCTCCGATCGTGGTGATTGTGAGGAGTTCTTGACCTTTTCCCGGCGGAGAGCCAAAAGGTACTCTAGTGGATTGCTCGTGGCTTGTGTGATCCTCATCTTGTGTTGGTTGTGCGGCACCCTATTGAGGGTTTGGCGTGTGATGCCAATTAGCGCGTGAACCTCCAAGTGAGTGAATCGTCACAACGAGGACTAGCTTGCCGGCAAGCAAGTGAACCTCGGTAAAAATCATTGTGTCATCATTTGATTCCGAGGTGATTGGTCTTCATTGATATTGATTCTTGTGATTGATTGATTCATTTCTCGACACGGCGGTATAACTATCTTGCTCTCTCTCTTTACACTACCGCAAACTAGTTGTCAAGCTCTTTAGTGTAGCTAGTTGTGAGAGCTTGTTAGTTTGGTTAGTGTGTCTCTTTAGGTAGCCTTTGAGAGCACATTAACTTAGTGTAGTGATATAGCTATTGTGTGGATAGAAACTATATAAACTAGAATTGTGGTAGGTGGCTTGTATTTTAGTAGGATAGCGCAACACTTGTTTCGCCTCATAATTGTCTAACCGGTTTGTTAAGTGTTGTTGTAGAAATTTTTAATAGGCTATTCACCCCTCCTCTAGCCATTAGGACCTTTCAAAGGTAGGAGACACGGCTGACGTGTGGGCCCGTGGTGGCAGCGACTGCATGCAAGGGAAGAGGAGGCGTGGTGCGGCTTGGGCCGGAGTTGGGCCAAAGGGCGAGCGCGCTGGCCCTACGGGAACAGAGGGGAGACGGAGAGGCCGAGCGGTGCAGGCCAAAGGTGAGGTGGGCTGCTGCTCGGCACTGGGCCGCGCAAGAGATCGGAGAAAGAGGCGGCCCGCGTGGGATAGAGAGGGAGAGGAGAGAGATTTTTTTCTATTTTGTTTTCAAAATCAAATTCAATTATGAACCAACTGCAAATCCAAATATAGTTTCAAACATACTTTTCAATGCAAATAGAAATGAGAAATTTTGGAAGACTTTCAAAATCAATTTTACAACTTTTTAAATTCTTTTATTTCAGAGCCATTTTCAAACTCATTCCCAAAAGCAATTTAAACCATTTTAAATTTTAATCAAAACCACTCAGCCAAATAAATCAAATGCACCGGCATATATGCACATCCATGTTGCTACTCTTATGATGAATTTTAATATAATAAAAAAAATATGTTTTCCCTATATTTCATGAGCACAAATATTCCAAATTAAATCTTTTTAGCTTTATTTCCAAAAAATCAAATTTTAGGGTGTTATATTAACCCATCTCTGTTATCAACTTTGTCCAATTTACCTCGTCGTGGCTGATGTGGTGCCACGTAGGATGTGGCATCACGTGAGACTAAACCACCTTGAAAACCATAAATAAAAAAAGGTAAAACAACTGGTTTCAATAGTTAAAGGAGCCAAAACATCCGGTTTTCTAGTTTAAGGAGATATGACCAACTCTAAGAACCTCTCTATATTTTCTCTTATTGATAGGAATAGAGATTTTAGCGAAAAATAACCTCCAACAACTTTTTTAATTAGATATCTAAATATTATCATTTTCTATTCTAAATTTCTCGCTAGTCAAAGATGAAGAGCAAGATTAGTCTTTTAGAGTCTGTAAGATATAGAAAAGCTATGGCTTTTTAAAGTGTGCAAGATATAGAAAAATTATTGGAAGGTGAAAATATAGAGAGCGATTTTTATTTAAATGGCTCTCTAAATTATGATTTAGATAGTGGGTTCAAGAAAAACTCTTAAAGATGCTCTAAATCGGACCACAACGATAGTTAAAGGTCAGAAGGTCTTTTTCTTTTCTTTCTGGATTGGCAAAGAAGCCGGGCAAAATGGCATCTACCCCCACATCAACATGAGAATGCGGAGTTGGGTTACAACTTACAAGCAATTTTCAGTTATAATGTATTGTGGATTAACCCGTCTAAGTCTTTCTGAAGCAGCTCATTTTGCTGTTCTTCTCATACACCCCCAAAAAATACTCTCATTTTACTCTTCTTCTCATACACCAAAAAAAAAAAAGGTAAAGAAATTATTGCAACCTTGAGCTTATAGAAATTAATAGGCACCGTTTTCAATCTAAACAGCAGGTAGTTGCATTTACACGTTCTCAATACTACATGTATGTATCCACATTATTTGGTGTCAGTATACATTGCTACTTCTGCAACATGTAGAAGGAATGAATTGTTGACCAACCCTGAAATTCAAAACATATCCAAGGTTGGTAATACATCAAAATTCACTGAGGCTGGCTCCTGCAGAAGAGAGTTCAAGTAGGCTATGTTAGTAACCTGTAAAAGCCCAACGAATTCTTTGCACAATAATCATTAATAGGGAAATATAGACTCAACAATATCACAGCAGTGCAACCGGACCTCTCGAGTCTCGAATTCTCGAGGGCTTGATTGCTTAAGAAATCATGGCAAACCTTTATGCCATTCCGCATGAAACATAACCACAAGTGTGACTTTAAAATAACTGCTGCTAGAACATTGAACTCAAGGGAAAGCTCAGGGCTAATGCACACTGTGATACAGGAACACAGAACAAAATCACTCTGAATTGGACAATCTTGGGTCACTACACTGTTAAGAATGTCATTTGGAAGGCTAGGTAGGTGCCATCCAAGTGCATTTTTTTTGGAGTGACTGATACTCCAGGACAGAGGACAAGTCTGAATCAGTACAAATTTCAGACTTTGCCAGGGTGCAATGGAATGATAGAACAATTTGGTTCGGAAACAGGTTAGAGTGATTAGGGTGAGATTCACAATGCAAGTGGACTGATGAAACAGAGAAAATAAATATTTCTAATTCCCAATGTCCCAAGCGGTTGTCCAACCTGTACGTTAAACAGCAATAACAAATCCTTTTTTAGGGAAAACCCAAGCAAGATTGGGTAGGTTAGAGATGAAACTTGAAAAGTAAATTTCCTGATTGTATGTTGTACCATAAAAAACAATTCTGAAACCTAAGTAGCACTATTGTACCTTTACCAATTAGAAAGTAAAAATGAGAATGCACTCATCATGGTTCAGTAAAACTTAACTCCATTTCTTGTTGGGAAGCCGTCCATCCAGGTTCATAAGCTTCCAAAAACCCAAGCTTTGCCTTGTTTGGGAGGTCATGTGGATGGACAAATGGAACCCCTTGTGGCCATCCAATTTCAGTTCTAGTGTTCTCACACGGACTATCCAACGACTGGATGTGGCTTTCACATTCTTTGAGATTGCAAAATCTCAGCTTGATGCCTTTCTTATCTGCAATGTCCTGAACACGCTCCTTCAGGACCCTCTGTGCTTCTAGGCGAAGTCTTTTAGAAGGAGGGAGTGGCTTTGTTCTTGCATTTCCTTTCTTTTTATTCATCACAGAGTTGAATGATGCTACACCAAACAACTGAGTAAGCCATCAATACATGTTATTCCAATAAAAAGAATACAGTTCTGTAAGGCCTGTGGCCAAAAGTTTAATAACAAATAAATCATGAACATGATCAATCACTTTCAGATTTACAAAACCATCAACAGTGAAGAGTACAAATGAAGAAAACCTTATCTAGTACACACTGATTAAGCTGCCTATCCATGGGGTTAACTCATTCATGCCAAACTTTAAGACATTTGATATATTATTGTGTTACCCACAATATGAGACCATGCTCGTATAAAAGAGTTGTATCATGTTGATTTATATAATATAATTCTACGAAGTCAGTTAGATGTTTTACTTTATCACTAAGCAAGAAGAAACTTTTCATAGACTAGATCACTCCAAATCTAGGCATGGCTGGACCAGATCTCCATGTTAGTATTAATGATATGCATACTATAAAGAACAGTGTTCTAAAAAGACCTCAGTTGTTCTTGTTGTAGATACACTTTATTTTCTTTTTTAAACTAGGGTGTTTACACTGTCCAGGATTGGACACATAATTGCACTTGTTTTGGACCACATCTTATTATAAATTTGTATAATATTGGGAACATATTCACAACAATATGTACCGGAAACATCACGCATTGGTTATACAAATGGTCAAGCACGAGGCAGGCAGCGCAATTGGTGTCACAAAGCAGTTTTCTCCAGAACCAAGTAACCAACAGATGGCCATACACATAGTATCAGGCACTCTAATTTAATGAGGGAGAAGATATCATGACATGAGACACAACAACAGCTTTTTCATGTACTCTTTACAGTCACAAATAAGTGATGTTTTGGACATTAACATGGTCTTCAAAACACAGCTTTGACTACTACTTTTGTTATAATTTTTTTTGAAACATAGTGAGCATACTTTTTTTTTGTTATAAAGATACCTGTATATCATTATAAAATATCCAAACTCAACACATAATAAATAATACGCAACAAAAGTTTGGAATTGTTTACTTAGGACAACCCAAACATCACTTATTTGTGACTGGAGGGAGTACATGAAAAGTATATTTGCATATAGCAACGAGTCAGAGGCATTAACTTACCCGAATCTTGTTCTGTGTGTAATGATGGTTCAGTCTTAGGAAACAGTTGATCAGCAAAATGATCTGTCTGCATGAAATCATTAACTGGTATGGGGACCTGAAACTGAGCATCAACGCCATGGCCAGCAGCTCTCATCTCTGAACCACTCAGCCTTGCAACTGATCTAGGCATGAGCTTGAACATCAAAGAACATCGCCCAAACATACATCCATGTATGTTGTCAACCTCTGTTTTATGTACAGCTGGATTTACATAGCCAGCGGTTTCCTGATAAAGCGCAAGGCCAGGATAGACAACAACATCGTGTGGACCAATATCCCCATCAACAAGAATCCAGCGTCCATGTAAGTCTTTAACATATAGGCCTGACCTATCTGGCTTAACTAGGGTAAGCAAAGTCTTATCAATCTGTTGCTCCTGCTCAGAAAACATGAGCAAGTGACCATTATCTTGAGAAGCAATGCTGTGCTGATGTGCTCCTTCAAATGATGGCCTTGAATGACAACATGCTGAAAGAACAGAAGATGATACTTCCTGGCTTCTCAAGGGTATGTTGTCAAGTATCTCAGTAAATGCACAGCTACGCAAATTCAATGAGAAACTGATTGCATCCAAGATATCTCGAGAAACTTTACCCAGCACCGAAAATATGTCAGGCAAACCTGACGGAGGCAATTCCATTTCACTGCTGGGATCTGTTGCAGTAATACCAGGCCTGTAATCATACATTTCCAGACACATCTGAGGATCAACATAGTAACCAGAGGTCTTACACCATTCACGGGAATCATCCGAGTGGACAGCCTCGTTCGAATTATACCCTCGTTGGTGGAAGAAATAGCGAGCCGAGTCCAAACCTGACCTCAACAAGGCACCATCAGCTGGTGACAGCTGAATGATGGCTGCTGAATACTGAGCCAGCGACTGCATCAGAGTCGATACGCACATCTTATAGCTGTCATAAGGCAGGCCCTCAGAGGCCGTGAGATCAACTAGATGCACGCGGCCAAGCGATGCAAGAATATTTCCTGCTGCATCATCCATTAGAATTGATGACGTTTGAGGATGTCTAGTTCAGTTCAGTGGAAGGGCGGGCTTGGGGCATGCGGGTTCACTCCCAGTCTTATGTTGGAGTAAAAGATACCCCAATACGTCTTATGGAGTCAAGTAAGATCGATCTCGATCATAAGGACTACTGATCAAATAAGAACAATGTCCGAATGGACTCAAGCACAACTACGTCACGCGGCTACCAAATCTGCGCGACTACCTGCGTGGAGGAAGAAGAAGATTGAGATTTGGACAATCCGCAAAACAAAGATCTTCGCCCGACCAAGTATTCATCAAAGAAAGCAAAGGGTTCCTTACCAAGAAAAGAAGAATCCACTCAGATCAGGATGGATCCCCATTCCCCTCGGGGCAAGCAGGGTAGGAGGACTGCGGCGACTAGGCGAGAAGGATACGTGGAAGTGGCGACCTCGGCGAAGTGGAGGCTATCTACGATGGACAAGGAGCCTTCGGGAAGAGAAGGGAGGAGCGATCTAGTGCCTGGACCTGGAGGTTGGACGTTGGAGCAGCGGCGTACCTACTAAAAGGGGAGGTAGGGAGGTCCTACCAAACTCCGGAACCTTTCACCCCTCAATTTTCCCGGCGAGATCCGGTCGCCGCCGTGTTGTTTTCTGTCGAGCGCCGCCTGCAGTCGCTGCTGCATCGAGCGGAGGAAGACGAACGAGGACGCGTAGTTGGGCCGGCCTAGATTGGCCCATCAACTGCAGGCCACCGCAGGCCGCTGCGGCCATCCACGCCGACGCCGGTGCGCTTCTCTGACCGGTTGGCGCGCCAGTTGGGCCTTGTGGGTGGGTCCGAAATTTTTGTTTTTTTAGCCTTTTTCTAAAAGTTTTCGCAAATATTCCCCTAGAGTTATCCTTTCAAAAAATAGACCTTCATCTCGGCGCCGTCGTTATTGGCGCCTATCTTACACGTCTCGGCGCCAGAGTTTTTGGCGCCTAGCTCTCGGGGCCATGGCGGCGTGGGGGCTGACCTAGCAACCAACACGGCGCCATAGATCTTGGCGCCTAGCTTGGCGCCGTAGATCTTGGCACCGAACTAGGCGTAGTAGATCTTGGCACCCATTGGCGCCTAGCCGGCTGACTAATGGCCTCCCCAGTCTATCATTTCATTCATTCTTCCTCCACTCGGCCTGACTCCCTCCCTCTCCCTTAGTCCGTCGCCGCAGCCGCGCCTCCTGCGCACCACGTCGCCGCCTTCCCTCGACCACCCGCATCCCCAGCGCCAGCGACCCCACCCCACCCACGATCGCCCCCACCCCCCTGCTGCGTCGGTCGGCCCATGACCGCGCCCCCCTATTGCGCCGCCATCCACAAGGATGGCCGCGACCGGCCGGCAAAGGGGCAGGGGGCTGTGCCTAGGTGCCCGGGGGCTTGGGGCCTTCCTCCCTTGGACCCCGCCCCGGCCCGTCTTGCCGTCGTGGTGGCCATCTAGGAGGGTGCCTTGGCGCACCAGGGGCACACGACAGCTTTCTCGTCGGCTGTCTCTGCCTCCTGACGACCGGCTTGTCTCCCGTGCACCGACTACGCCTCCCCTGCAGTGAAGCAAAGTACATTAGTTTGTTAATTTTCTTCTTATTTGACAATAGTTAGTTAGTTAATGTGGTAGTGATTTAGATAGGTAGAAAGATATTTAGATAGATATGTTGATTGATGGATGCTTTACATAGTTAGTTAGATAGTTAGTTAAATAGTTATACACTTAGTTACATAGTTAGTTAAATAGTTATTTGACATAGTTAGTAGTACTTAGTAGTGAATTGATAGTATATATTTAGTTAGTTATGACGTACTAGAGACCTTGTACTTAGTATGTTTCATTTATATTGGACTAAAGGAAATGCGTTTCGTTATGTGTATGAACTAGATGGACAACCTAGTGAGCATATATCATGGAGGCACCGTGGAAAGAGATCGCTATGGATATATTGAGTTTGTTGAGATGCAAAGCGTGCCTGTGTTATTCAATGAGAAGCCTTCATTTAGTGAGTTGGTTGCAAGGGCTCGGGAGGAGCTATATTGCCATGGAGATGATGGCATCACAGTTGAGGGTGTACTTCACCTAGGTTCCCCTCCCAACATCCTAAGGAAGATGATCCCAATTGGGTGTGCGGATCAGTGGGAGAACTATATGAGATCGGCTATGAAGAACCAGTTCCAAAGTTTGGATGTGGTTGTGTGTCGGGTGGTACTTGATCGCATCCCTCATGGGTTTTCCCCAGAAATGGGTCAGCAGGCACACTTTGACCCTCCCGTCCCGGTACCTGATATAGATGTGAAGGTTGCACCTACAGTTCCCGATGCTCAATCTACCCCCAATGAGGTAGTTAGAGATGCTTGTCGGGCTCATGATGTTGTGGCAGATTCTCCTCATAAGATCCCTTTGACACAAAATCATCCATGTAAGTGTCTTATCCGTATCATTATTGGGAGCTTACCCCCTTCCTTACATCCATTTTTCTCATTCTTTTCTCGTATTTCCACTTATGTTGCAAGAGACATTCCTGATAATGTGGATGTGCCCCCTGTTGCTGCGTATGTGCACTATGGAGATGAATTCTGTGGCTCCAATGGTGTTGAAATTATGAATGATTCGGAGCCATATGAGATGGCAAGGGCTCTTGATTCTGATGATGATCATCCTGTTGGAGAGCTGACGAAGAGTGACGTTGAGATGCTGAGACATATCTTTTTCGGCCGCCGTGATCCAAGAGTTCACGAGTTTAGCGATCTTGCTCATTCTAATCAAGCATGTGCAGAAGGACGTGATGATGAGCTACTAGAAGCTCCTGAGGCCAGCCCTAACTTGGTAATTGAGAAGGGTAGGGTATTCAAGGACCTTCCTGCATTGAAGAGGCGTTTGCAGTGATACGAAAGAGACCTTATAAGGTCTTACATTCATATGCGGAGTGCCATTACACAGTTATGTGCAATAAGAAATGCTGCCCATGGAGGGTTTATGCAAGAAAGCAAAAGGTCACCAGAAAGTCGAAGATCACAAAAGTTATTGGGCCACACAATTGTGCTGACCATGTGCTCACATTGAAGCATTGACAATTAACATCTACCCTCATTGCCAAGTGGTTGATGGGAATATTGCAAGGAGAACCCAACATGAAGGTTAGGACAATTATCAGGACCGTTGAGGCGTTGTATGGAGGTTATGTGATAACTTATGGCAAAGCTTGGAGGGCTAAGCAGCGAGCGTAGAAGATGATATATGGGGACTAGGAGGATGGGTATGAACAGCTGTTAGTACTTTTCAATGCAATCAAAGCGCTGAATCTAGGCATGCGTTATGAGTACATCCCAAAACCAAATGCATGGAAGGATGGGAGGCAGATATTTTTCCGTGCTTTCTAGTGCTTTCCTTAGTGTGTTGAGGCCTTTAGACACTGTCGTCCTGTCTTGTCCATTGATGGTACGTTCTTGATTAGCAAATACCAGGGCACACTTCTTATAGCCATATCCTGTGACACGAACAACAAGTTGGTTCATTTGGCATTTGCTTTGGTTGAGAAGGAGAACAATAACAGTTGGGGATGGTTCTTGAGGCTAGTCCGGATAGATGTGGTTGGGCCTGGCAGGGAGGTTGGCGTCATATCTGATAGGCACCAGGGCATACTTAATGCCATGCGAGAGCAGATAGAGGGGTATGCACCTTTGCACCATCATTGGTGTACTCGACACCTTCCTGAGAATCTACTCTGGAAGGATGGTGTGAAGGATAACTTTGATCTGTTTTAGGAGGCTGCTCGACAGCTTGAGGACAAGTACTTTAAAAAAAAGTTGGAGCAGGTCAGAACCGCATCAAATGTAGAAGGTAGATAATGGCTCACGGGTTTGATGAGGGATTTGGAGAAATAGACAAGAGCTCACGACGCTGGTGGATGGAGGTACGAGTTTCAGTGCAACAACATGGTAGAGTCATTCAATAAGTTGTTGTTGGGGATACGTGGTATGCCCGTGAATACAATCATTCAATTCACCTTCTACAAGCTTGTTGCCTGGTTCAACGATAGACACGCCCATGCAATGAAGTTGTGGAGTGATGGAGAGATATGGGCTCCAAAACTAAAGGCACACCTATAGAAGGCAAATGAAAGGCTGGCACACATGTGGTTACATGTTTTGACCACACCATAGGGACTTATCAGGTCGAGCATAGGGGCGGTACAATTTCTAACGGCGAGGTCCGAGAGTTGAGGATGCATGTGGTAGTTCTCCAAGATTTCACATGCACTTGTGGTAAACCAAGGCAGTACCACTCTCTATGTTCTCATTTGGTGGTAGCAGCTACGCATCGCAACTATAATATCGAGAGCAGGATACCTCACGAATTCAATGTCGACACACTTGTGCACACATGGACCCCCCGCTTCGTGCCTTTCCAAGACCCTATAGAGTGGCCTCCATATGACGGGCCAAAGTACATTGCGGGTCCAGCTTACCGTTGGAACAAGCATGTATCCAGGAAGAGAACGAGGCACATGATGTTTATGGATCAGATACCCAGAAGAACGAGGCATATGAGAGGAACCCCATTTCTTACTGACCTCGAGCAGTACGAGTGTGGCAAGTGCGGTAGACTGGGCCATGATTCACGCACTTGCCATTGGTAGATTAGTGAGGTGCGACTATTGGTTGTTTTAATTATTTCATATTTATCATATCCATTCTATTAATTATGCATGTCTCAATTTATGCTTCTAATTGTGTCAATTACTTGTACATATCTAAGTTTATGTTTCATTGTATATTGAATTTCTATTTCATTGACTTTTTTTGTAGGATGGCGCAATTCCACCTGCTCGACCTGGCGTACGAGGAGACCCACCAAGGATGTCTCATAGCGGAGGGGCAGGTAATAATCTATACGTCTTGTTCAAATTTTTGTAAGCATACATGTGTTCGTGAAGTAACAGGAGACTATGTTTTATTCCATGCAGGACCTTCCGCTCCTTTGTCCTAGAACCC